ATTTGTACTGGTACAGATAATCTGGTGGTTGAAATGAAAATGACTCTGGTGAGATAATGGTGTTTCAAATATATTAGGAATATAATTATAAATTATTGGTTTTATCAGTCAAATGGAAAAAAACTCTGCAAAAAAACCAAACTCTTTGACAAAACAGTAAACACCAACTTCTAGTGGTTGCAGAATGCGTGGTGATGTAGCCGGTTAGCAAATAAACAAAACGTTGTTTTTGATGTAAATCAATATGATCTAATAATTAACATGTGTTAATTATTAGATCATAATAATTAACACTGTCCATCTACAGCTACAATATTAATACCTATATTTCAATCACAAAAAAAAAAAAAAAATTTTTATTAAATAGTTAAGTAGGTAAACTTAAGTCAACTAATTATCTGATATTTTGGTGTGACACACCGAGTCACTGTACAAGTTGCCTTTCTGTCAATCCCCATGAAAATGTTGCATATACTTCATTCTCTGTACCATTTAAGTACCAACATTTGTACGTATTTTTTTTTTTTTTTTTGATTTATAGATAATCTATAATGCAACATGTTTAACAGCAGCATTGGTGCAATTTCCAACTGCATAATTATTTTTAAATTAAATATTTGTTTTTAAATTAAACTATTTTTTTCTTGTCTTGATCACTAGAGAAGCAAATTTAAGTCTGAGAATGAGTTTTGGTTGATGAAACTAGAGATAAAAGCTTGTTTGAGCAGCGTCTATATGTAGTATTTCTAGAAAAAAATGAGACAAAACTTATAATAATGGAAGAGAGGCTCAAGCTTGGCACATTTACAACTTTTGGACCTTGTCTAGAAGAGAAAGAGCATCATTAGAAGGACCAGCCCAGTATGACAACAGTTTTTCATACAGGGATAAATAAGAGATTTGTAGAGGTAGTGTATGAAATCAGAGTAAGGAAATGACGAGCATGATAAAGCAGATGCTAACTTAGCAATTGATTGTATATATGGTTTCCCTGAGAGGTCAGTAGTGAACAATAATCCATGAGTAAAAAAGCAGAGAGTTACCAAGAAAAGAGAGTTTTTAAAAACTGGAACCACAGATGTCATTTTTCAGCAAGCAAAAAAACAAGATTTAGTCAAGCACTTATTAAATAGTTTAGAGAGAATTGAAGAGTGTTCTGGATAAGATCCCATGAATTAGAAATGTTAGACCTTTGTTAATGACACTGTTAAAGATTCTACAAAACTCTAAAGTTCTGCGATAAGATATGAGATTTTATAATTTGGGTATAATGGGGCTTAGCATTAGACAGCATCTTTTTACATTAATTTTTTAAAATAATAAATAGCCATTTGTTTTCAATAAAGTTGTTCTTTTGAAAAAAATAAAAAAATAAATGATTACAATTAGATATAGTGTAGCTGCACAAGAAGGTGAAAAACCATGTAGTAGAATTAACCTTGACTTGGAACAGATGAGAATGAATAAAATCTTTTATACCTGCCTGTATCCAGGAGGTTATATAGTATGTGCACTTATTAGTGGAAAGTGAAATGACATTAGCCCAAGAAAGTCTCAGTCAGGGTTGTAGTAAGTAGTGCAATGATAGGATGAGTCTGAAAAAGAATTACAAGATAAAATATTAATATAGGTTTATTGCATGGTTAGAACAACCTAAAGGAGAACAAGGAGAAACTGAACACAAGAGGGTCAGAGACAAGACACAAGTCAAGAAGTTAAGTGATTAGTGTTGTCTGGAAAATGTGTTAGCTATCATAAAATTAACTATCTGAATAAGAGATTGAGAGATGCACAAGTTTTAGCCTTTAGTGCCAGCAGGGTGAGCAGTGTTAGAGCCAAGCCAATCAGTGTGATGAGCTTTAAAGTCACCAATTACAACAATATTGGCAGATGGGTTAAGAGAAAGGGTATGGTCAATTTACTCAAAAATTACATATATAAGAATGCAGTCTTGAGAAAAAAGAGAACGATGAAGAACAAAGACAAAAGTTATAGAGTGGAGAGATGCTAAGCGAAATCGCATAAAAGACTGGTCAAAGCATTCAAACCTGATTTCTTGACAAATAAGTGAATTGATGTGTAAGTTTACCTCCAAGCCTAGCATGTGACTATTGGAATTTTTTTGCAAACCAAAATATAGTACCCATTAATGCTGAGTCCTGAAGAAGAAACAGCTAAATTTAATTTCACAAAGAAGCAAGTAAGTCTGGTAAATTTTGAAAGAGGTATGATTTAACTCAAAGACCATGAATGTTTGTGAAAGATGTATTGATACAGTTAGGTGGTGGGGATGGTTTTTTTTTATGTTGAATGAGTCATCTGTGAATGAGTCAAGATTTAAATCATGCTAAAAGTAATACAAAATATTACAAAATATGTAATACTTTGTATTACTTTGAGCATGTATTAAATCTTGACTCATTTACAGATGGAACTCAGTTAATTAATCCAAACATTAAGACTTATTATAAGGCCTTGACAATGCACACCAATAGCATTAACAGGGACATCATCAATACAAAACATGGCGCTGTTAATACTCTGATATTTTTCAGCTGTTAATGGAATCAGTCTCTTTGAGAGCTACCACAAAGTTTGGGAAACCCTACTACCAGACCACATCAGAACCATCAAACTGAGTTTTACCCTCATTAGGAGATAACAGGAAGAGTTACCTAGCTATTATTAATTAGGTAAAAGCAAAAACCTATGAGAAGAGTTAAGTAGATCCAGCATTTATCATCCTAGTCAGGAAACAATGTAACACAGGTTTACATCTACACCAGCCTAATAGTTGAAGCAGGGTTTGAAGGCCAACAAAACAACCCTTGCTGGGAATTGTATTTCTGATGTATTTATGATATGATACAAAACATTTCAGTGTAAAACTATTGTTAAAATGTAATCACGAAAATTAACATAAACGTAAATGCGGAAACCTCGCATGGTCTCTGTGGCTACTACACCCCTAGTACTTTAAAACATTGATAAAAATATTTTGGAAATGCAATAAGAAAGACATTACATCTAACAGAATACTAGAAATTAAAGTGAGCCTAGCTTTTTTAGTTGTAGTCACTTGTTGGTTACTCACTCTGCACTGCAGTTCATACTGCAACAAAGATTTAAACAGAACACAAACATACATAATGTAACTTACTGGTGAGTGAATACTGTTTAAAAGCATTAAACTGTTTATTACAGGGAGTGAGAGGGCTGATAGTTTTGAAAAGATAAGATTTTTTTTGTTGCAGTTTATTAAGAATTATTAACTTGGATCTGTTTTAATGAATGATATTTAAACAGATTTAAACATAACACAAACATACATAAAGTAACTTACTGGTGAGTGAATACTGTGCAAAAGGTTTAGACAGAACACAATCATTAATATATAGTAAATTACGGGTGAGCTAACACAGTAACTTAGACACCTCCAACTATATAACTTTGGTCATGACAGATATTAGATAGTATTGATGACAGGAAGTACAGTTCATCTAGCCTTGGCTTAGAAGGCGAATCCTACAAGGCAGCATGGAACATCACATAAAACAGGTTGCACTGGATTACATTTTACCATAGCAGGGATCATGATAACCATGCACCTGACCCGACAACTTATGAATAGTTAATAATAAGGTTGTGCCTATCTTTCTTTGATCTTAACTTATTTGGTCTTACAAATAGTTGGTAACTAGTGTGATGGTATCTTTGTAAATTCTACCAATGTTCCAATCAGATAGTTTGATGATTATATTTGTCAAAGTTGCTTCAAGTAGTTTTAGTAATCTCATTTAAACCACTGCTACTTGGATCAATACTATTTCTATGATTGAGGTCCAAGCAGATACACATTATGACACTACTTAGTGATGAAAGAGAAACGACAATTGTCCAAATTTTGATGTTTTACTAAATAAATTAAAGTAATTTAGATAACAGATTATGGAAATACTGGTGTTTTATGAAGAATAAATGATTTTTTTTTAAATTTGTAACATAAAAAACTAATTTTTTTTTAAAATTAAACATTTATATATCATGTAATGATAATTTTTATAATTTTTAATTATATAACAAAAATTTTCAATCATGTAATAATTTTTAATCATCTAATGATAATTTTTAATCATGCAATGGTTTCTTTTAATAGTTATTAATGCCATGTTATTAAGAAAATTTATGTATATTTAAACACATATTTAAAATAAAAAATGAAACTTATGTGTATTTAAATTCCTATTAAAAATAAAATAAAAAAGTTAAGTATATTTAAATATCTACTCATAAAAAAAACCCTGACGAAAGCATTTTTTTTTAAAGTTTGGTAACATGTGCATTAAATTAGTAATATTTATTTAGCATATATGCCATCCTTTGAACAACTTAGTACTAAGATTTGTAAAGATGTATTTTTGATTTAACAACAATCTATGTTGCAGCGTGATTAATAGCAGCATTGATGCAATTTCCTACTGCAAAATTATCATTTTGATGTTGCCAACCAATTTCAATGGTTGTAAAGTACCATGCCTACAAACTATGTGTTACAGGGTTGGCTCTAATTGTATATTTATTTGAATATTCAATTAGAACCAGTTAATATCTGATTGGATAAAATTGATCAGATAATAATTATCCTAGTGCTCTATTTATGCAACTTTAGCATAAAACAAAAATCTAAATGGATGTTTTTTTTATTTATATTTTTCTATTTTTATTAGCCCTTTCATTACATTTTCATTAGAAATTTTTCATTGTCCATTTTTCTGACAAAAAAAGAACAAGGATATTTTATTTTGTAGCCTTTAAATTGATCGTGCGATTTCACTTGCAGCCATTAAACTGTTTATTACAGGGAGTGAGAGGGATGATAGTTCTGAAGAGATAATGATTTTTTTATTGCAGTTTATTAAGAATTATTAATTTGCATTTATTTTAATGAATGATATTTAGTTTGTACTTTATAATAATCTACTTTATGTATTTACTTATAGGAGATAAAGGAGGTGCACATTGGATAGTATTAAAAAGTTTACGAACAATATATGAAGATATGGATGGTTTTAAACGATCATTGCACAGTACAGATTATTTAAAGCAAGCTATGTTTGATTATTTTAAAATGAATGATAAGTACTGTATTTTACCACATTTGTATCCCATGGATGGAAAAACTATAGATAAAAAAATGATTGCAAAATTTTGTGTGGAAGGAATTTTAAAAGGTGCAGTTGATGGGGATTTATTATGTTTACATTTGTTTAAATTAGCTGGTATTCAATTAGGAAAACATATAAAAGCACTTATTCCTAAAATAGATTTAGAAATGCTGCATACTGAAGGCGGTTTAAAAGTTTTATGTATTGGTTCTGTTTGGAAAAGTTGGGACTATTTAAAAGAAGGTTTCTTAACTGGTTTGAGACCATTAACTGATGAAGAAAAGCAACTTAAAGAAATCACACTAGTTAAATTAAAACCAGAAGCTAAAGCTTCACATGGAGCATGCTTATGGGCTGCTAACAAAGCTGGATTTAATTTTCCTATGGATTATGGGAAAATGTCTTTTGCGTTTTTCAATTATAAATTTTTTTAATTTAGTTACTTCTTCTATAACATATATATATATATATATATATATATATATATATATATATATATATATATATATATATATATATATATATATATATATATATATATATATATATATATATATATATATATATATATATATATATATATATATATATATATATATATATATATATATATATATATATATATATATATATATATATATATATATATGTATATATATATATATATATATATATATATATATATATATATATATATATATATATATATATATATATATATATATATATATATATATATATATATATATATATAATAATAATACAATTTTTTCTGATTTTGTTAATTTTTTTCTCATTTTTTAAATAATTTAAATATACATTTTTGTCATTTAAATATGTTTTTTTATATTCCTAATTATAATTTCTTGCAAATTTCTTATTATTTTTAAATCATTAAAACTCACAGTAAAAGATTTATTAAAAAGATAATAAGATGAAGTTTCACTTTATTTGAGATCTTTGTTCACTATATTTGTTATAAAAACAATATTCAACAGATATAAGTTTCATAAGGGTATATGGACCTTGAGGATAAAATTTGAAAAATGTGTTTTTGTGTTTTTTTAGTATCTTTTATCAGTATTACTTATTGTCATATATTTTTGATTGGTTATAAATTAGTTTAAGTGTAGTTTATAAAAACTTTTTAAAAAACAACTTTTAAATGCTTTTTTCCAACATTCACCATCATTCAATATATACTATTTTTACTGCAAGGATCCAAAAGAAAAATACTTCTTGGAATTTTGTTGTTATATTTTGTGAATCTAGAAATTTATTGTAATTTTATTTGTTTGCTGTGGTTTTCATAAATGACTTTATCTAAATTCAGTTCCATTAGCTTTTTTTTTTACTAGTTTACTGCTCCATTTTATCTGAACGCTAAATACATTTTACTCTTTGGTTTAAATAAAAAAATTTTTAAATTAGTCCTTCAAAATCCCTTCTTTGTATCAACCCATTTGTTTAATAATTTTGGTTTTGCACATAATGGAATATCTGCTTTTTATATAGCTTTTGTTTGAATGGTTTCTGATTGAATGGCTGAGATAAATGGCATTCACAGACATGTCACAAAACATACAGACGTTACACATAATAATATTCTGTTTTGATTTAGATTTGTAAATTGATTTAAAACTTGCTTTACGGCACACCTTTTGAACTTCTTTTTGAATTTAAGTTTTAATTTTAATTATCTGTATTTTTACAAATTTCTTCAAATTTTGTTTTTAAAAATTAGATGTAAAAATTAGATTTTTAAGAAAAATATATTGAAATTTAAATATTATTAAATATATTGAAGTTTGAATACTATTAAGTTTATTAAAGTTTAAATATTGTTAAATAAATTGAAGTTTTAATATTATTAAAAAATTTTGAAGTTTAAATATTATTATTATTTAGTATTGTATAGAATATTTTTTTAATACTAAATATATCTTATTATTAGCATTATACAGAAAATTATTTAGTATTAAACAATTATTATTCTTGGTTTAAAAACAAAAATAAAATAAAACTTTTTTTAAATTTTAGTTATTAGTAAAATATTTTATTTGGAAATGAAGTAAAAAACATACATTGGAATTTCTGAAATGGACATACTTGAAGTTAGTAAACAGTTCATATAATATTTAAATGTAAAAGTTATGTGTATGATTATTAACACAAATGCACATACACACACTCATATATATGTTTGAATAATTTTAAATGTATTATACAAAGTAGAATGCTTAATGTTCTTAAAAGAACTGAGAAATAATAAATTAGTTAAAAAAACTTTTTTTTTCGACTTATTTAATATATGTATATATATATATATATATATATATATATAATATATATATATATATATATATATATATATATACATATATATATTTTTATATATTTAAATATATATATATATATATATATATATATATATATATATATTTATATTTATGTATATATATATACTTTTGAAATGTTTAAATTATCAAAACATACAAGCAATGGTGGTCAAGTTGTAAAATGAAAAAAAAATTTACACTGTGTAAAATGAAAAAAAATTTTCTTAAGTGATTTTCTACTAATTTATAATTTAACATTGAGCACTCTATTTTGCAGAATACATTTTTAAAATTGTTTAAACATTAGCATTAGCTTAACGCGATATTTGGCATCATAATGTTCTCTTTATTTTTTAATTTTTTAAAGACATTAACTTTTTTAAATTACTGCAATAATAATAATTACTGCAAAAAGGTTTTTAATGTTATTTAACATCTTTTTTATTATTACTATAAAGGAATGTTTATTTATTTTTTTAAATGTTAAATAATTAAATTTAATACTGCAATTTTTAAAAATGTTCGGTATTAACAAATTTCTTTCTTTTCTCTACATTTGCATAAATGAATTAAAATATGTTAATTTTTTGAGTTTTTAAAATGATTATTTCTTAATTTTCTAATTGCGGCTTTTCAACTACATATGATTTTTTATTTAATAAAATTAGCGAGTAACGAATAAAAAAATTACATTAATTGCTGCAATTTAACTTGCGTTATATATAAAAAAGTTTAACCTAGGTTTTGTGCAAACTTTTGATGTAGCTGTTTATTTAAAATTTAATTTGACAAAAAAAAAAAATGTTTAGGAAGGAAAACCGAAAAAACAATTGCAATAAAAATAAGCTGATTTTTTTTAAGAACAAATAAAATTTAAAAATTGAACAATATTTAGTAAAATTTTTAAATAGGTTTGGCAGTTAAGTTAAACCCAAGCATTAACTTTAATTTTAATAAAACTTAAATATATTTTTTAAATCAAAATTAATTTATATATTTTTTAAATCTAAATTAAATTCTATATTTTTTTATCAGAATAAAATTATATATTTTTGTTAAATTAGTTTTAAATTAAATCATGTATTTATTAATCAGAAATAATTATGTTTTATGATCTTTGCTTTAAGCAAAGAAAAAATAAAAATAAACTTTTAATTTTGTTTGAGTTTTTTTCATTAGTAAATATTTAATAATGAAAAAATTTATTATTTAAATTTATTATTTAAATTTATTACTTAAATTTTTATTTAGATAGCACTTTTATCATACATAATTGTCATTCAAATTTTTGTAACAAATATTTTATAACAAATATTTTGTAACAACTTTTTTAGCAAATATTTAACATAAGCGTCATTCAAAGGTTAATGTGACTTTTTTTTAAAATTAAATACTTCTTTTATCTTATAGTATGCTTATAGTATAATTTAAAAGTTAAAAAATGATAAAAAGCAGCTTAACCAAAATCGCTTATTGCTAACACTTTAAAATAAGACCTGTATACGTACACACTTGTGTTAAGTATACAGTATATATATGTATAAGCAATGCTTATTCTTATAATGAAAATATAAAGTCATGCTTGTTTAAGAGTTTAAGAGGGAGAAAATGAAAAGTTGTTTAATTGATTTTTTTTAGCTAAAACTAAAACTTGTTCAATCTAAAAGTATAATTCTGTCTTCCTTCAAATAACAAAGCACCAACCCTCGGAATTAGAAGAAAAGTGGTCGGCAAATTATTGACGATCTTGATCTTTTAGAGGTCGGCAAAAAAAATTTGATACAAAGGTCTCACCATAAAACATAGAAACAAGGTCGGCATTTATTTGCTGACCTCAAACACTTTATGGTCGACAGTTAGGTCGGCAATGCCGAATGCCAACCCTAATTCCAAGGGTTAAACCACTGATATAAAATATTAGCATTATGTCACTTGCTTTAATGTAGAACATGTGTTTCTGTTTGGCATTAACATAATGTATGAACAGTTTGTGTTCCTTATTGTTAATTTTTAGAATGGAATATTTTCTGTTTTAACTAAGTGCATTTGGAAACACAATTTGAATAGAAATATGTGCAAATGAAATGCAAAATGAAATGAAAATTATTATACAAATTCAATATAAATAGAAAATTACAATAAGAAAATTAAAATTTCAGTTTGTTTGAGAAATAGTGAATAGGGGGGCTTGAAAAAACAAAATTTTTCATAATGCTTTTGAGGTAGAGCAGAAAACTTGTCTTTACACATAAGTAACTGCAAAATTTTGTCACTCTAGTACTGTTCTGGTGAGGGACATGAAATTTCAAAATTTTATTAAAATATCCATATATTTATATATTTAAAAAAATATTTTTTAATCACCACAGCAATTTGTGGCTTTGTGCAAAAAATGCACCTATGTATCGTTAATTACTGTGCAAAATTTCACACCCCATGGACAATTTGTTCTATTCTGGCAAAGAGCCTGAAATTACCCACAAATATCATTGTTGTTTTATTACACTTTTATTTTTTTAAGTCAATTTTTTTAATGTGATTTCAAAATTAAGTACATATTTCAATTGGAATAAGTGCAGCTGTTTCTATTTTTTTTTCGATTTCTTTTGTTTTAATATTGTTAACCTTTTGAGACAGTAACTTTTTGGCTTATATGCAAATATACAGTACATTAACATTATAAAATTAAAGTTAAAAAATTGATTTGTGTTTTTTAAGATCCTTGCACAAGTCGAAGTTGCAATTTTGTCTTGAAATTTTCTTGGCTTGTATGCGAGCATATACTGTAATAACTATTATTTTAGCAGGTTATTTTCCAGATTATCATTATTAATTAGTTAACCAATAATTATTTACAAATAATAAATTATTATAAGTTATCGCATCAGGTTGTTAGTAAGAAAGAAAACAGCAGAGAAAGAAAACATGGCAAAATCTTCAAAATTTTCAAAGCTCTTTAAACTGCTCAATTTTCGGATCACCAACAGGTTTTTCTAGGATGTTTCCAACAAAAGAAGATGTTTAATAAAATGTTTAATTTATGAAAGGCGGTGTCTTGGATCTGAAACAAAACTGGTAATAAGGAATCCTAATTTCTTCCATATCACATTTCGTTTGTGAAAAGCTGCAACTGCTGTATTCTGATTCTTCCATTCTGAATGTTTCAAAGAAATGTGTTGAAGAAATGTATTTATATGGTTGATGCATATCACAAATCTTATATCAATATCAAACCTGTTTATAAAAGAATAGAGAAAAGCCTGGCAGCTAATGCAAGTCACTGCTGCCACAGCTACTAGAGTTTTACATGACATAGACCTAGTCAGTAAATTAGAGACATCTTGAGTGATTGATAAGAATAAAATTACTAGAGAGAAGTATCGAACCATGGAAGAACTTAAAAGTGAAAGTTCAAACACTTATAAGAACCATTTAGTAGGTCTTTACTTTGACAGCCGACGTGACACAATTTTTCATTGTCAACAGAAAAAAAGAAAGATAAATACTACCAAAGAGAAATTATAGGGAGCACTATTCCTTGGTGAAAGAACCAGAATCTAGCTACGTTAGCCATGTTACACCAGCATCAGGAACAAGTCCAGCCATGGTGAAAGTATTTACAACTATATCACAGCAGAAGTAAGCAGAGGTTTGAACAATCTTCTTGTTATAGGTGTGATGGAACAGTCGTAAATACTGGAGTTCATAATGAGTTACTGTGTTGTACTGAAGCTATTCTCAGGTCATGAAATCTTGTATTTCATCACAAATATTAGGCTCTCGTGACTTCTGGAGAATCTTTAGAAGTATCAATAATAAGAGCATGTCTATAATTCCACCTCTTTTGTATGGTTCAGACTTTGTCATCTCACCTAAGACAAAGCTGAATTATTTGCTAAGAACTTTTTATCAATATCATCTCTTGATTCCACTAGTTGCATTCTACCTGATATAGCCGTCAAACAGGTTGATCCATTGCTTGACATTCATATCACTCCAGCTTCCATATCTAAAATGACAGATATTCTCACATCTAAGGTGGCATTGTTCACTGATGATACTACCATTTATTCTTGTCATGATAAGAAGCCAACACTCTCTGATTGCTTAGAGGGGGCATTTGAGCTTGAAAAGAATCTGCTACAGCATGGAGCTCACAGTGGCTGGTCAACTTTAATTCAGATAAAACTCATTCCAATAATTTAGATCTTCCTATATTTATGAATGGTAATGTACTTGATGAGTCATCTACCCTTCATCTTCTAGGATTAACTCTTACTTCCGATAAACTATATATCAAATCCGTTGCAAAATTATCATCATGGCTTTTGCACACTACCACAATGTACTGTGGCGCCTAAAAAATATTTCTAAAAATATATAAAAAAATGGATATTTTACTAAATTTTTGAAATTTCAAGTCCCTTGCCAGAACAGAAGACATTGTAGTAGGATGTTGATATTTTACACAATTTTTCCACTCTACGTTAAAAACATCATAAAAAAATTTTGTTTTTTTTGAGTCTCTTATATAGGGAAGCAGTATTACAAGGTTGTAAAGGCTGATACGACAAGCTGCTTTATGGTTTATTGATAGGTTTATTGACAGTTTATGAGGATGAAATAGACAATGGCAATGAATACAAGACTGACGAATTAGCAGCATTCAATTTTTAAATTCAAAAAGAGGACAGATCATTTACAACAGTTGAGGGGAAAAACTAGTATTAAACTTTTAAATAATAATTTTGTTTTGTGTGTTATAATAGTTTCTT